ATATGAAACAAATAAAATAAAACACATACAAAGCAGAACACAGCTAAATGTATCAAAAGTATGTCTATGTAATATTAGAATTTTCTGAGACAATGAATTTTGGTTTTTCATTTTTTTCCCTGTAAGAGGTTTTTATTTAATAGAATTTTTGGACAAAAAAATCACAATATATCGCCTTGCTTACAGTATCGCAATTTATCGGGATATATCGTATCGTGACTCCTCTGTCATGATATGTATCGTATCGCCAAATTCTTGCCAATACACAGACCTACTTGCGTTCCGTCACCGCTGCGCTGCGCAGGTCACAGCGGAGCGTTTCAAGTCCAGTTTATCCTACCTCCGCCCCGCTCCGGTCCGACAGACGTGCAGGAAGGAGATCGTGCGATAAATTCAGTGATAAGTGTGGAAGTCAGAGCAAAAAATTATTAATTCTGTGAAAGACAAACTCCAAACACAGCTGAAAACAACGATTCAAAGACTTTTGTTATCTATGTTGAAACTTTCTCGCTGTCGGCTTTCTGGAACTTCTGATTTCAAAATAAAATCCATGTGTATCGTGTGTGTAGACATAATGCTTCATGCTACATGTTTCCATCTGCTTCCCAAACAGAACGATACATTCTGACAGCATTTGTGTAGAAATATATCCAAATATTTATTAATATAGCTGCAATTTCGACATTATTCCGACAAATTATTCTGCCGAATAGTGTCTTATTTTAAAAATAAGGATGTTGTGCTCGTGTCTTTTCCTGTTGGTGCGACGTAATCTTTAAAACTTGACTCTGGCGCAGCTCCGGCATCCGTCAAAAATAGGATCTGTTCTAATTTTGATGGATCACCGTCCGCTCACCGCCGCCCTGCGCAGCCAGTGTAAACACTCTCACTGGTTATAATGGGTGCTTATTTGCTGCAGAGGTCAGACCGGAGCGGAGACGGAACGCATGTAGTGTAAATTGGGGGTGATATTATTTGTCACTTTAATTCCTCACAGGTGGATCTTCTTGAACTAAATGTTTAACTTTAAAAGTTAAAAGTTGGAGCTACAACACAAAAGCAGGGTGAATACACACATGTCCCTTTTCAGTTTTATTCTTAGCAAACCACCACTTCTTATAAAGCTGCCAGTTTATGTTCTGTCTTCTTCTGAATGGGTGTTCTGAACTGTAATTTCATTGTGCTCGGTACAATGACAATAAAGTCTTGTCTTGTCTTATCTTATCTTATCTTATCTTAACTTGTCTTGTCTTATCTTATCTTATCTTAACTTGTCTTGTCTTATCTTATCTTATCTTATCTTATCTTATCTTATCTTATCTTATCTTATCTTATCTTATCTTATCTTATCTTATTTTATCTTATCTTATCTTATCTTGCAGCATCAGTGTCACCAACAGAACAGACAAACAGGAAGTTACCTCTGAGGACTGAACCAAACAAAAACCCATCTATGTCCAGGCTATAAGGCAGATAGATACTAAGGGGGTGAATACTTGTTCAACCCACTCTGACTCTTTAAACAGCACCGGGTCTGAAAAATAAACTCTTCTTTTTCATAGATTCTGATAGATGGAGCAGTTTTTCATTTACTGCTATGATCAGCTTTAGGTTCAATTGTCTAGTTGGACACACTGATGGGACTGTGTTTCCACTCAGACCAGACCCCCCACCCTGTTTTTATAGGCCTGTATTAAACACTGGGGGGCACTGTTTCTCTCGCTGGTCTCTGCAGACCTGCAGCTCATCTCTGCTCAAACTACTGCAAGCATTTAGTTTAAGGTGACCTGCTGTCAGAGGTGCAGTGGGCTGCCTGAGGGTTAAAGTTCAGAGAGCTGCTGGTCATAAATATGAATCAAAGAGTTTGATGTGTGATGATATCTGCTCCGACTCAGTGTGGGTTGGTCTCTGTTTATCGCCCACACGGTTGAAACAAACAAACACTTTTACTTTGAAGTCATCTTTGAAGCACAGAGACACGTCTTTAACTAACCCTCTTCCATCTTATCTAACCAAACCAGAAACTAACCGTACCGCCAGAGTTTATTTGTTGCTACTTGATGATGACTAGTTAAGATTTAAATGTGTCTCTGCCATCTTAAAACACTTTCTGTCTCCAACATTCACACATTATTTCATAAACCTGTACACCAGTGGCAGCAGCATACTGTAGCACATTTTGGAGAAATATAATATTTTTGCTGGAATAACTTTAATAGAAAACCGACAGCTGTACAAAGTGTTCAATAATTGGGTTTCCATGAACTGTTTGAGGATTGAAGTTTAAAATTTGGTAATGGGTCCACTCAGACAAGTCATCATTAATTCATCAGTACGGTCTGAGCTGACCTCATTCATATCTATGTTCTGCTCTTTTAAAAAAACTCCGGTGTTCAAACATTAAGGTTTAAACCTTGTTCCTACAGACCCCAGGCTGTAACTCTGACAGACCCCAGGCTGTAACTCTGACAGACCCCAGGCTGTAACTCTGACAGACCCCAGGCTGTAACTCTGACA